CCTTCCATGTTACTGCGTTATTCTTCTTTCTGTAAATAAACTCCTCTGTTATTTGCTCAGAATACAGATGGAATACCTCTGGTGAGAGGATACAACACCTTTCCTAATTTTAAACCCTTCATCTTTCCCTTGTTCCTTTCACACAACTGCTTCCTGATTCACGTTCAAGTTCCACAGGAGCACAATGAAGCATGCTGGAATTCCCATTTTTCCCAAGGCTACCCATATCTCATAATGATCTACAAAGTCTAATGTCTTGGATAGTCAAGAAAGCATGAGTAAACGTCTACCTGCTGGTCTCTGCTTTCAGCCACCCTCCAGCCGATAGCAGGAGTGATAACCCTTTCTCCGTGTCATCTTCGGAATCAGTCCTGAACCACGGCCATCTCTACCAATATACAGCTGCAACTGCTTTTGGATGATTTTCAGCAGGCTTTTATTGGCATGTGATATCAGTAATGCAGTTCTATAGTTCAAATATTCTCTTGGGTTACCTTTATTTGAATGTGTACAAATATAGATCCCTTCCAGTCAGTTGGTCAAATTTCCTGGTGTAGAAGAGTGAGTACTTGCAGTGACTCATCGGCTTTTTGAAACATTTTTATTGGTATTTCATCAATTCCTGAAGCATTGCCTTTGACTAATGCTTCCAGTGCAGCTTGAATTTCTTCCTTAAGCATCATTGGTTCTTGCTCTGAAATGGTGGAATGTTAACTAGTTTCTTTGTTTGTTTTTGTACAGTGACTCTGTATTCTTCCCGTCTTCTTTTGATGCTTTCTGCAGTATTCAATATTTTGCCCATAGAGTCTTTCAATATTGCTCCTAGGGGGTTGCATTTCCCCCCCTGAATTATATCCGCTTAAACTATGCCGAGCAAGTTCTTCCCTCTTGGTTTTCTAATTCCAGGTCTTTGCACATTTCATTATAATATTCGTTTTTGTCTTCTCGAGTTGCCCTCTGAAGCTTTCTATGCAGCTCTTTGACTTCATCATTTCTTCCATTTGCTTAGCACTCTATGATGAGGAGAAAAAAATCAAAGCTTCCTCTAATATCCACTTTGCTCTTTTCTTCCTTTTCTGGCTTTTAGCAACAGTTTGCTTTCTTCAAAAATGGTATGTTTGATATCCCCAACACAGCTTATCACAGGCAGCATTGTACTTTATGGTTGATTTGTATTTGAATGTGCTAAATGGATTCTTCTGAAATTCATCAATATTTAAAAGT